GATGGGTACACACAAGCACATTGTAGTTGTGTCTCTAGATGGGTACACACAAGCACATTGTAGTTGTGTCTCTATAGATGGGTACACACAAGCACATTGTAGTTGTGTCTCTATAGATGGGTACACACAAGCACATTGTAGCTGTGTCTCTATAGATGGGTACACACAAGCGCATTGTAGTTGTGTCTCTATAGATGGGTACACACAAGCACATTGTAGCTGTGTCTCTAGATGGGTACACACAAGCACATTGTAGCTGTGTCTCTAGATGGGTACACACAAGCACATTGTAACTGTATCTCTACAGATGGGTACACACAAGCACATTGTAGTTGTGTCTCTATAGATGGGTACACACAAGCACATTGTAACTGTATCTCTACAGATGGGCACACACAAGCACATTGTAACTGTATCTCTTCAGATGGGTACACACAAGCACATTGTAGCTGTGTCTCTACAGATGGGTACACACAAGCACATTGTAACTGTATCTCTTCAGATGGGTACACACAAGCACATTGTAACTGTATCTCTACAGATGGGTACACACAAGCACATTGTAACTGTATCTCTACAGATGGGTACACACAAGCACATTGTAGTTGTGTCTCTATAGATGGGTACACACAAGCACATTGTAGCTGTGTCTCTATAGATGGGTACACACAAGCACATTGTAGTTGTGTCTCTATAGATGGGTACACACAAGCACATTGTAGCTGTGTCTCTATAGATGGGTACACACAAGCGCATTGTAGTTGTGTCTCTATAGATGGGTACACACAAGCACATTGTAGCTGTGTCTCTAGATGGGTACACACAAGCACATTGTAGCTGTGTCTCTAGATGGGTACACACAAGCACATTGTAACTGTATCTCTACAGATGGGTACACACAAGCACATTGTAGTTGTGTCTCTATAGATGGGTACACACAAGCACATTGTAACTGTATCTCTACAGATGGGCACACACAAGCACATTGTAACTGTATCTCTTCAGATGGGTACACACAAGCACATTGTAGCTGTGTCTCTACAGATGGGTACACACAAGCACATTGTAACTGTATCTCTTCAGATGGGTACACACAAGCACATTGTAACTGTATCTCTACAGATGGGTACACACAAGCACATTGTAACTGTATCTCTACAGATGGGTACACACAAGCACATTGTAGTTGTGTCTCTATAGATGGGTACACACAAGCACATTGTAGCTGTGTCTCTATAGATGGGTACACACAAGCACATTGTAGTTGTGTCTCTATAGATGGGTACACACAAGCACATTGTAGCTGTGTCTCTATAGATGGGTACACACAAGCACATTGTAGCTGTGTCTCTAGATGGGTACACACAAGCACATTGTAGCTGTGTCTCTAGATGGGTACACACAAGCACATTGTAGTTGTGTCTCTATAGATGGGTACACACAAGCACATTGTAGCTGTGTCTCTAGAGGGGTACACACAAGCACATTGTAGCTATGTCTCTAGATGGGTAGACACAAGCACATTGTAGTTGTGTCTCTAGATGGGTACACACAAGCACATTGTAGTTGTGTCTGTATAGATGGGTACACACAAGCACATTGTAGCTGTGTCTCTAGATGGGTACACACAAGCACATTGTAGCTGTGTCTCTAGATGGGTACACACAAGCACATTGTAGTTGTGTCTCTAGATGGGTACACACAAGCACATTGTAGTTGTGTCTCTATAGTTCGGTACACACAAGCACATTGTAGCTGTATCTCTACAGATGGGTACACACAAGCACATTGTAACTGTGTAACATGCTGCAGCCTGGACCAGACAATCCAGTGACTGATATCATCAGCACCGATCTACACAAATAGGATACAATGACATACACCAACAAAGTCAGCAAGCCTGACCACCCGATCCCCTTAGTCACCTCTTACGACAAGCATAGTCGCCTCTTGCGAAAAGCATGAGTTGCTGAAGACCTATTTGGACCCGGATCTTCACCCGTAAGATGTTTGAGATAAACGTTTCTACAGGTCACTGTTGCCTAGCGACTAATAATCTAAATACAACCATCACTTGATATAACATGGGTCACAGGTACATGGGTGACCACCCGTAGACACCCGCTTTATTGCTAATATGGAGCGTAGGTCAAGTAACATTGTATTTTCTAGTAAAATCTCAGACGTTAGGGAGATACATTTCTACAGGTCACTGTCACCTGGACATACAGTGCATTGTGACAATGCCTCAAAGGTCAACATGTTCCATAGCACGTTCACTGGTCATTGTGACCTAGCTAAACTAACACAGTAACAGAACATCCAGGGTCAGTGTTAGTCAATTCAAAGATCACTGTAACCTAGCCATACAGAGTGTTACAGTATGTTCTAAGGTCACTGTGACCTAGCCATACAGACTGTTATCCTTCTTGGGTCAGTCTTATAGTATGTTCTAAGGTCACTGTGACCTAGTCATACAGAGTGTTAGTGCTTCTGGGTGGATCAGTGTTGTCTTAAAGTCACTGTGACCTAGCCATACAGACTGTTATCCTTCTTGGGTCAGTCTTATAGTATGTTCTAAGGTCACTGTGACCTAGTCATACAGAGTGTTAGTGCTTCTGGGTGGATCAGTGTTGTCTTAAAGTCACTGTGACCTAGCCATACAGACTGTTATCCTTCTTGGGTCAGTCTTATAGTATGTTCTAAGGTCACTGTGACCTAGTCATACAGAGTGTTAGTGCTTCTGGGTGGATCAGTGTTGTCTTAAAGTCACTGTGACCTAGCCATACAGACTGTTATCCTTCTTGGGTCAGTCTTATAGTATGTTCTAAGGTCACTGTGACCTAGCCATACAGAGTGCCACTGCTTCCTTGGTCAGTGTTACAGCACTCTCCTGGTCTCTGTGTTGTTCTAAGGTCACTGTGTTGTTCTAAGTTCACTGTGACCTAGTCATACAGAGTGTTAGTGCTTCTGGGTGGATCAGTGTTGTCTTAAAGTCACTGTGACCTAGCCATACAGACTGTTATCCTTCTTGGGTCAGTCTTATAGTATGTTCTAAGGTCACTATGACCTAGCCAAACTAAATACTGTGACACTACTTCAAAGATCAACACTTGTTCAGCCTCCTTGCACAATATCCTATAGCTTGTGCACTTAACGGTTATGGTATCCCAAGGGCTAGTAAAAGTACTTCATTATGGCAGCTTTACCTAGCATCTCTACAGCTATACCTAGTTATGTGTGACAGTGATCTATCCATACAGAGCATTGCGTTACATTGACCTAGCTTTATCAAAGCATTTTCATAGGTCATTCTGCCCAAGCCACAGTGACATCTTATCGTGAAATGGGACTATGACACCATGTTCATAGCAGAGGCAGTTTTTTCAACTGAGAACACCTGTTACTATATTGTCCTTTCAACAAACACTGGAAACAAGGTCAGATATTCCCAGCATAGCCGATATGCAAACTACTGTGCTTTTATATATAACCAGTCCTGAGTGTCTGGAGGTTTTCAGCTTCAGTATTTGAAGCTAGGATCTTCAAGACTTATTAACATTAAGGTTAAGACAAGTGCTCTTGGCTTTTGTTCTTAATTCCAAACACTGTACAACATGTACCAACAGGAGTGAGTGAGTGAGTGAGTGAGTGAGTGCATGAGTGAGTGAGTGAGTGAGTTGGGTTTAATGCTGCTTTGACCAGTATTTCAGTTATATCACATCATGTCAGTATCAAGTAGGAGGAAAGCCCAAAGTGATGCAGGTCTCTATCATTTACCCCTTTGGTGAAACCCACGAGCACAGGTATGGGGCTGACAAACCTAAAAACATAATAGGGGCGACCCGGGATTGGAATCTATGATCCAGATGTTTCTAGGATGGCCAATGGATGCAACTTGGCACCGAGAATTGTGGTGCCTGAGACGACTGGGCCACTGGCTCCAAGTTCAGGGTATCTTTCTAATGTGTAGTAATTCCAGAGTGTGGATGCAATGCACAGTGTGGAGTCAGTATGCACCATGTACATGTTCCGTATGCCAATAAGGCAACACTCACAGCAACCTTACCCATCATGCCTGTAATACTGATGATGTGATGGCAAATTTTAACTCACTCACACCAACCATTGTCCTTTCAGTAAATGAAACAGAAACATGTCTGCATTCATGGCAGATTGGCCAAAATATCAATAATATATCATATTTACATAAAATATACATTTACAAGCATTATTGTCAATGTGAATGACCACACACATGTGCATGCAAATTTCACCTAGGTGAATAGCTGCAAAGCTTGACTTGATCAATGCTAACACTCCCCAACTGGGTTTGAAACATTCTGCATAGGGGTTTGTCTGGGGTTACTTGTTATCTATGCTGTCTTAGCCTTGTCCCATGTGAAATCAAGATATCTGTACATTCAATACGCAGGGGAATTTCAAGTACGGAAATGACTTTTCAACATTCTTTCAAGGCAATTTGTCTGTGGTACTCAAAAGAAACTAAATTTGATTTTCAAAATCACACTATCATTGTAATCATGTCAGTATTTCTCACTCCTATTAGCTGGGAAGAGCAATATTCACTCATTCATCTATTTTCAAGGAACCCATTCAAAACATAAATCAGTCAGGAGGGAGAGAAAATCAAATAGATTTTTGTTTCATCTGGCAATGTGTTTTGTCTGTAGTATGAAAACTTCCTTTTCATCGGTTTTATTTATGTTTATTACCGATCTCTCTTGAAAAATCATAACTGTCGCTTCCATCATGACTTGGAAGGTGTATTCTATCAATATCTTATTACTGACTGAATTGATTACAAAAAATAATTTTGCAGATGTGACTGCAGGCTACTGAAAGTCAATAAAACAGTCTGCGCCTTTAGTTCACCATTAATGGACGACTTCCTGACTAAACTGACTTGGCATCACAAGATGACAATTAAACATTGGTCTACACAGCACAACATAGGTTAATATGAACTTGACCCTTACCTTTACCCATTTCCGGACTGCAACAAGCAGAGTTAAGATAATCTTCTAGATGTTGTCCATGCATAGTGTAAGGCAGGTGACACTCTTACTGACCATGTCATTCTACTTCTGCCTGACATCTACCCAGCACCACACCACATCTTGATTCAATACTCGTCCTGAATCTCCAACAGTTGTATCTGAAATGGTAAGTCAGAGAACTTAAAGTTATGAGACAAACACCATTATCTTACAGCAATTTTCATCCAGCAACCAAAGCACCATGCAACTTTTTATCAATCATTCTGCCTGTGACTGAAGACTCTGAAGGAGCATACCTGGTAGCGCCCCTGTCAAACGCACATTCTTGCTGTATTTATGCAGACATATTTTTTGGCTTGAGTGAAAAACGACCTACTTAACACTAACTCAAGATGACATATTCTGCTTTTTCGTGAAGCCAAGATTAACTTTCCTACTTACATGCACACCCAGAAAATCAAATACAAACTTGCATATTAAACACGGCGCTCCTTCTATTGATGTCAGGTCATTGTGAACTACCGTATTTACTTGAAGATGGTGCACACTTTCCCCCTCAAAAAACCCCACAGCTTTCTACGTGGTGTGTGCATAACACATCCACAGAATTCAAGCCCGAGTCTTTCCCCGAATTTTGGTATAGAGTGTCTGAGAATACAAGCCCGAGTCTTTCCCCGGATTTTGGTATAGAGTGTCTGAGAATACAAGCCCGAGTCTTTCCCCGAATTTTGGTATAGAGTGTCTGAGAATACAAGCCCGAGTCTTTCCCCGGATTTTGGTATAGAGTGTCTGAGAATACAAGCCCGAGTCTTTCCCCGGATTTTGGTATAGAGTGTCTGAGAATACAAGCCCGAGTCTTTCCCCGGATTTTGGTATAGAGTGTCTGAGAATACAAGCCCGAGTCTTTCCCCGGATTTTGGTATAGAGTGTCTGAGAATACAAGCCCGAGTTTTCCCCCGTACTTCGGTACAGAGTGACTGAGAATACAAGCCCGAGTCTTTCCCCGGATTTTGCTACAGAGTGTCTGAGAATACAAGCCCGAGTTTTTCCCCGGACTTCAGTATAGAGCGACTGAGAATACAAGCCCGAGTCTTCCCCCGGACTTCAGTATAGAGTGACTGAGAATACAAGCCCGAGTCTTCCCCCAGACTTCGGTATAGAGTGACTGAGAATACAAGCCCGAGTCTTCCCCCAGACTTCGGTATAGAGTGTCTGAGAATACAAGCCCGAGTCTTCCCCCAGACTTCAGTATAGAGTGACTGAGAATACAAGCCCGAGTCTTCCCCCAGACTTCAGTATAGAGTGACTGAGAATACAAGCCCGAGTCTTCCCCCGGACTTCAGTATAGAGTGTCTGAGAATACAAGCCCGAGTCTTCCCCCAGACTTCAGTATAGAGTGACTGAGAATACAAGCCCGAGTCTTCCCCCAGACTTCGGTATAGAGTGATTGAGAATACAAGCCCGAGTCTTCCCCCAGACTTCAGTATAGAGTGACTGAGAATACAAGCCCGAGTCTTCCCCCAGACTTCGGTATAGAGTGATTGAGAATACAAGCCCGAGTCTTTCCCCGGACTTCAGTATAGAGTGATTGAGAATACAAGCCCGAGTCTTCCCCCGGACTTCAGTATAGAGTGATTGAGAATACAAGCCCGAGTCTTCCCCCGGACTTCAGTATAGAGTGATTGAGAATACAAGCCCGAGTCTTCCCCCGGACTTCAGTATAGAGTGACTGAGAATACAAGCCCGAGTCTTCCCCCGGAATTTGATATAGACAATAGGACAGCAACCAACCAACAAACTTGATGGTTACTTGTTTTTGAACATGATGAAAATCAAAATTCTACATGTATGCCAATACAGTACAATATACACAAGTGCTCTTTAAAGTCTTCCATACAAATGTTCTGTGCAACTCATACGAACAAAATGAACCTCGAGATAAGGGCAATCTATTCATATCCATACATGCTTGATATGACTGTAAAATATATACACAAATCTATTTATACTAAATCCAACTTCATCTACCCACTACAATACATAATTTATCGACGAGCATGTGACTAACGTAACAGCATATGTCTGAGTGTGTTTGTCAACCAACAGGTTGAACCTGTTGTCTATCTTGTCTAGTGAGTAGGGGTGGGGTTATTCAACAATGCCTTTCAGTAAATGTCTGGCATATTCCAGTGTTTGGGTGTTTATCCTCATGTACGTTACATCTCCACACACAAAAACAATGACTCTGGAACAAAAATGTCTAATATCAGGACTGGCTAAAGAAGATTGATAATCGGAATTATCGTCAGTGGGAAGAAATATTAACGATTATAGATATGAATTGTGTCATCGATAATATCTTACATACTCTATTGTGATGAAATAAGGTTTTAAACTACAGATACAGAATTGTTATTGTTCATTGCCGATCCATGTTATTGTCATGTTGCAGAGAGATGTGAAGACTTCTAACATTGTCAAAATACACATGATCTGCTGCTGTCTGGCAAGAGAAAGCACTTACAGATAAATAAGCTCAAATATCACAAGATACACAGGATGAAAATAATTCTTGTGTCTGTGACTGTTGCACAATAACCCGTCTAAGAAAAGTGCAGAACTTGAACTCATGTTTCACAGATTTGATAATCATTTAGCAAGGTCAATTCAAGTAACTTCTCTCTTTGACGTACAGTTTGAACAAAACATGCATTTTTATACATGTTTCCATAAGATGTTCTACACTCTTTCACCAAATCTTACAATTTCAAGATGAAAATTCTGGAAACAGACTCAACTTTTAATTAATTAAGAAATGTCCCACATGTTTCAATGACAAAGTCCACGCAACATCACCAAAGGAATTTCTGCAAGGCTGTAGGTAGATTTACTTACTCCCAGAGTGGATTCTGGGTCAGATGAGGTAAACTTTGCTTGTCGTATGAGGTGATCCAACTGCAGGGATTGGTGCTCGTAATATCAATCACTGGATTGACTGGTCCACAGTAAACCATGTTCAAGCTGCTGTGATATAACTGGAGTATTGCTGACTGCAGCATTGACAAACAAATAGTGTATCCTCTTGCAGGTTATAATCTGTAGCCTGGGATCACTAGTACCAAGTCACTTCTGTGACCAGAGATGTGAGAAAACAAACATTGTTTTATTCAATAATCCTATCTACTGATATTCTTCTCTTAATTTTCGTCAAATGTAGAAAAACTTGTTCCAACTAAACATGCTGGGATAGGTTCTAATGATTATCATCATGATTATTGTCCACTCATTCTAATAGACATCACAACCATGAAGTCTACCGGCCCTTGTGAAACACTAATCATCGCTTCACGCTAGAAACTATCCTTCACACTGCACAAAGATATAGATTAGTATGATCAATAGTAAGGCTCAAATTTCAAAACAATTCATCAATTGTTAAGAAGATCAAAGTGACTTTATAGAGATAATAATTAGTTCATTGAGGTTTAATGTGGAACCAATACCAAGGCACTTCTGCCCTCACTGCAATGGTGTCACAGTATATCATCGATCAGCTATGACTCACACTTCACTGCAGGATGTTCTGACATGGGCCCTTTATCTGAACTTTTCAAATATTCCAGAGGTACACCCACACTTGCTCTTACAGCGGAATTCTAAAATACTCTATTGTCTTTGAAAATGTGGGCCTTTTTTTAAATTTAGGGGAGTGAGTGAGTGAATTAATTGAATACATTAAATGAATACATTTATCCACATGAGTAGATTTTGAATACAGACTTAAAATATATTAGTAACTGCTGAGTGAGTGAGTGAGCGAATTAATTCAATGATTCAGCTTGAATACATTTATCCACATGATGAATAGATTTTGAATACAGACTTAAGATACATTAGTAACAACTGCTGAGTGAGTGAGTGAGTGAGTGAGTGAGTGAGATTCTCGACATGTCAACTTAATGTGGGAGGAAAGCCTGAAAAGATGCAGTTCATATATTTTTCCATTTCGTGAAACCATCAATCAGATTCAGAATCCTGTTTTATCAGGACAAAATGGGGACTTTGACATCCTGCGGATCCGGGCACCACTTTAGAATGTCATTGCTAGTGCTCCCTGCCATGCTGATAAATATGACTGCACTGCGCTACAACCAAAACACACCATTTTCCCTCACTCACTCACTAGGTTATTTTATCTTGAAGTGATAGCCTACTTCGCAAAGCGTTTCTCTATTCAAGTTTCACTGATGCCTATTGTACTGGTTGACACATCATAAGCTGAAGCTGTGGTAAAATTGACTGTTTTGAAGTCTAAGGTTTTATAGGAACAAGCTGGTTGCGTAACATCTGTTCCCATTTCTCTGTAGTGTTCACTGAATCTAGCTTGGACAGTACATTGTGCAATGATGCATGATCATATTGCTTGAAAATATCGTACAGAATGTTTTCTGGGTTTATATTCATTATTTACAAAAAAGCCCAAAACAAATAATTTCATAAATATATTTTTACAGCTTTTTGGGGATGGATGCAAGTGACCGTAATAAAGTGATTATGTGAATAAAATATCTTGGTTTTCTTCCAGAATAGCAGCATATATATATATTAATTTATAGTATTATGGTTGTGTTGTTTTATGACGCGTAGCATTACTTAAACACCAGCATGATGTTCCCAAGCAGCTGTCTGTATAGCCAACCAGTACCCACCAAGTACACCACAAGATGTGTTGCCACTCACTCCTGGCATAACTACACTAAAAAACAAACCCTGTAGAGGGATCATGAAATAGTGAGTGAGTGAGGTGGGTGAGGTGAAATGGGGTTTAACCTCATGTCCAAGATTATTGCACTTATGTAGCATGTGCGTGTGTGTGTGCGTGTGTGTGTGCGTGTGCGTATGTGGCTGCTTGTATTAGACCGGACTGATGCTGATTTATGGTGCTACCCCACTGAGATACCATGCCGCAGATTAACATGAATACTCCACTCAGACACAGTATACTTACTCCAGGCCGACCAGTCCTTGTTTTAGCCCCTTAATGCTGAGCGCAAACTGGGAAACAACAAGTACCATCTTTAAACGCCTTTTGGTATGATGCGCCCGGGGATCGAACCCCGGACCTTTAGCTCTCCGGGCAGACGCTCTATCACTAGAC